CTGCCCAGTGTACCTGAGAGAATTCTCTCAACCCTTTTCCCTCCCAGATCCTCTTGCATGCCGAGTGACAATATCCAATAGACTGGGCCTGCTGTTCTATATCTCTAACATGGAGAACATTTCAGCATTCTGAGCCAGTTTGGTGTAGTGGTTAAGTGTGTGGGCTCTAATCTGGGAGAACCGGGTTTGATTCCCCACTCCTCCACTTGCACCTGCAGGATGACCTTGGGCAAGCCATAGTTCTGACAAGAGCTGTCCTTGAAAAAGAGCCGTTTCTTTCAGAGCTCTCTCAGCCCCACCCACCTTACAGGGTGTCTGTTGTGGGGAGGGGGAGGGAAAGGAGTTTGTAAGCCGCTCTGAGACACCTTTGGTAGTGAAGGGCGGGGTATAAATCCAATCTCCTCTTCTTCTTCTTATACCAAACGTGAGGAAAATAGTGGTCGATGGCCACTCGCTTGTATGCTAGCACGCCCCCCACCCACCCACCCCAAGGAAAACGCCAGGCGCTTTCGTGTCTGACTTTATTGTAATACGATTTACAAACATAATATTTCTTTGCAGAACAGTGGGCCAACGATTTTTGTCTTTCCAGAAAGGAAGCAGGGTGTGCCACTGGGCGGAACAGCTCCTCTTCTTTACCTATAAACACAAACACGGTATTAAGGAAAGTTAGAACGCCGTCCCAGACGAAGTTGATGCTTTGCTTACTATGAGTCGCTGGCCCGGAGTCTTCCAACAAGAGGAGCCCTGCGATATCCCGCCACTTTTTATTTATTTATCTAGCTGTCACGTTGCAGCCAACTTATGGTGACCCCATAGGGCAGGGGTGTCAAGCATGAGGCCCAGGGGCCAGATCAGGTCCCCAGAGGGCTTCTACCAGGGCTGCAAGGGACTGGCCGTCTCCTGCTTCTCCCTCCAGTTCTGCTGCTGCTGTTGCATCATAAGCTTGCTTTCCCAGACTCTCTCAATCGCTCAGGAGAGCTAGATAGGCTTCTGCTCCCTGCACTGGGCTGAGGCCCCTCCCCCTCCCCGACTGCTACGGCACAGACGTTTTAATGCAGAGCAACAAGTGTCAGTTATCAGCGAAATAAACAAAATATTGCAAGTGTTATGTTTCAGGCATGTTTTTACTTTAAGTAAAAAAAACCCTTTGTGTTTGTGTCCTTTATAAAGTTTATACCTCTGCTACCTGGCGTTACATTTCATGACACACGTGGCCTGGCCTGACAAAGGTCCTATTTATGTCAACTCCGGCCCTCCATAACAAATGAGTTCGACACCCCTGCCGCAGGGTTTTCAAGGCAAAAAGACGTTCGGAGGTGGTTTGCCATTGCTCGGTTCCGTGCACAGACCGCTGGATTCCTTGATGGTTTCCCATCCAAATACAGACCAGGGCCGACCCTGCTTAGCTTCCGAGATCTAAGGAAACTGGGCTGGCTTGGGCTATTCCCAGGCAGGGCGCCACACGGGCCCCTAGCTACAGTGGGGGTTTTGAGGGCTCCGCCCCCTTTCTCAAACGCTGTCAAGTTTTCGGTTTCGCTTCCCTTCGCTTCACTGTTCACCTTGTCATGTATTGGGGAGAGGGAATTCCTGAGGGGGGAGTGCGTGGGGTGAGTGCTTGCTTATAGCAGCCATAATTATTCCTCAAGTTGCACCCCTTGGCCAGTTCTCATGAGATTTGGCCTTGGAGACTCTTTTGCTAGGCTACATGAGAACATAAGAGACGTCAATGTTGGATCAGGCCAAAGGCCCATCCAGTCCAAAACCCTGTGTCACACAGTGGCCAGAAATACCAGGTGCCATCAGGAGGTCCACCAGTGGGGCCAGGACATTAGAAGCCCTCCCACTGTTGACCCCCCCAAGCACCAAGAAGACAGAGCACCACTTGCCCCAGAGCCCCTATCTATACCTTGTGGCTAATAGCCACTGATGAACCTCTGCTCCATATGTTTACCCAATTCCCTTTTGAAGCCGTCCATGCTTATAGCTGGAATAGATAACGACCGTATATCTGTCAGGGTTGTCACAGAAACGCTAGTGGCCGAATGCTTACGTATGCATGGGGTGTGGGGGGTGCAATGGGTTTTACCTATAACCCCTGAAGTTTGTGCGCTTCCTTCAGTCCTGACAAAGAGCCAGTTCCTACAAGTAAACATATCTCTAATAAAGCCTCACTGCCAAAAGTGTTGTGGGAGAGTGTTTTAACTGGGGATCTGGCAAAGGTACAGCCCCACAAGAATTTCTGATACCAAATGCTTTTTTCAAACATTTTCAAACATTTTTTTTAAAAGGTGTGCGCTCCTTTAAGCCGAGTGGGGTGCTGCACTTGAGCCACACTGAGCAGGGGGGGGTTGGAGTAGGTGACCTCTAGGACCCCTTCTAGCGGTGTGTCAAGAAACTGGTCTCCTTAAAGAGAGTTCTTCAGCCTAAGTATTCGCTTTCTTGACTATAGGAGTCATCACCCCCGCCTGCCTGAAAAAGGAGTACCATGACTAGAGATGTGAAGGCCTGGAAAAAAAACGGAAAAATTCGGGGGGGAAACGTTTCCCCCTCCCCATTTTTTTCCTGAAGCCTTATTGTTTTTTTCCAAAAAATTGGAAAAATTGAAAAAAGAAAAAAAATTGATTATGGAACGTTTTATTTTAACATGTTGAATAAAATATTTTAAGACAAGGTGTTCAAATATTTTCCAAATCATTTCATATATATATATCATATATATATGTATCAGATTGATCTAATTTCTGTACACTGAAGACAAGCAAGTCCTAGGTTACAAACTGAACCCTCCAATGCAAGAACAAGATGCATTTCTTCCTTTAGGATGTGCGATTGTCAGAAGAAAATAAAAAAGTTTCAGTTTTTGCATGTGGGTGGGTCTTCTGTTTGAAATAATTGTTTGGATACACTATATTTTTAATATGCTAGTTGTGATAATTTCATGCCAAGTAAAAATGTCCATAGTCATATTTTATGTTCCTAAAGTAACAGAATGACTTTCAATCTAGAAAATACAAAAGAAATGCTAATGCAGCATTTTTTTTTCAACTTTTCTGAAAATTTCCATTTTTTCCCGGAAAATACGGGTTTCCCCCCCGGAAATTTTACATCTCTAACCATGACTCAGGCACGGTTCTACAACAAACATTGGTGCATTCAATTTAACACACTGATTCACGTGGCCAGTACACACACAACACAGTGCAGACAAATCCGTGCAGTTCCACACATTCCCAAGCCAGCCCACCTAGGAAGACCAGACACATCAAATGTCACCTTCACGATTACATTTCCGGCACTTTTCATCTCTTATCGTTACCTTGCTTAGCCTATTTCTCTTAACGTCTAGTTTACAGCGTCAACGTTACCTGTAGACTCCGGCCGGCACGCACTTCCCGATTTGCCCCTAGCTCCTGGTTGTGGGGGAGTTAGATAAAAAAGACACAGAACAGGCAGTGAAGCGTTAAGTCATGCAGATTGAGGCACGCTGTGATTTTTATCAAACATGCAAGGCGGAGCCAAAACACACGAAGGTGTACAAAAGCTCCACGGGGCAGAAGGCATTAAGAGCAAAGCATGTCCCGTTTTGTTCCCCTGCTCTTTAGAGTCAAGTGGAAATCAAGGAATGGGCCTGCAGAGAGCTTGATTCAGAAATCAGGGGGAGGAGGCCCTGGCTCAGTGGCAGAGCATCTGCCTGGCATGCAGAAGGTCCCAGGTTCAGTCCCCGGCATCTCCAGTTAAAAAGTCCAGGCGGTAGCTGACGTGAAAGTCCTCCGCCAGAGACCCTGGAGAGCTGCTGCCAGCCTGAGTGGACAAGACTGACCATAGACTCGTAGAGTTGGAAGGGACCTCCAGGGTCATCTAGTCCAACCCCCTGCACAAGGCAGGGAATTCACAACTACCTCCCCCCACAGCTCCAAGTGACCCCTGTTCCATGCCCAGAAGATGACAAAAACAAAAAAAACACCTCCACAATCTCCGGCCAAACTAGCCTGAAGAACAATTGCTTCCGGACCCCAAAGTGGCAATCAGCATTTCCCTGGGCGTGTGAGAAAGGGCCATGAGAACTAAGCACTGAGGCAACCCTTCCTGTCCTCTCTCTCATGATCTGTCTACGTTCACAGAATCCACATTGCCGTCAGATGGCCATCTAGCCTCTGTCTGAAAACCTCCCAAGAAGGAGAGCTCACCACCTCCCGAGGAAGCCTGTTCCGCTGAGGAACCCGCTCTGTCAGGAAGTTCTTCCTAATGTTTAGCTAAAAACTCTTTGAGGGACCAAGGGCCTGATTCAGCATAAGGCAGCGGCCTGTGACAGTACATTCAGGTCAGGAGCTCTGGCGTGATCCGTACTGGCGGGTGGGGGGCCCTTTCGACGGGCAAACCCCCGCCCCTCCCCGGGGGACTTTGAAGCCCTATGAGCAACCCACAGACTGAACTCTTTGAACAGGTCAGCCGGTCAACCCTGGGCTTGACCACCCTACTCCTGGTAGAAGCATTGTGATCAATGCTCCCTCCAAGCAAAAATTCTACTTTGTGAGCTCCCGGCAATAAACTTGAGAGCGAGCGATTTGGCTGCTGCATGAATTAGTTTGCTCTGGAGCCATCCTCCCTGAGCTGAGACAAAAATGTGTGAGCTGGAGGATAAAAAACTGTGAGCTGGCTCACACTAACTGATCTTAGAGGGAACACTGATTGTGATAGCTCGGCTAATCGTAGCCTAGACCCCCAATACTCTCAGACGGGAAAGGAGAGGTTCTACAATTCAAGGGCAGGACGTGGAAGAAAGCCACTCCTCGGGGACAGCCAACAGCTTCTGCAGGCAGTGTAGAATTAATGACAGCCCCCCCCCCCCCCCATGCATTGATCAGCGGTGCTGTTAAAGCACAGCAGGATTTGCGGCATCCGTCAGGCCCTCTCCGGTTGCTCCCTTCCCGAGCTGACGGCGCGGGCAGGAAGAGAGCGGGACATGAGCGCCGGAAACCCGCCACGGCCTCGGATACTCACAGAGCGGCGGCCCCGGAGATGATCTCGATCAGCTCCTTGGTGATGACGGCCTGGCGCGTGCGGTTGAACTTCATGGTCAGCTTGTCGATAATCTCAGCTGGGAAAAGAGGGGAACAAATTCAGGAGGCGGGCGGGCCAAGGAGAATGGCAGATGCGCAGTCAACGGGGTCAACCAAAGAAGGGATCACAGTTACAGGTTCATAGTATCAAACAAAGAAACACTGTGATCAAATTGACAATATTTCTTTTCTTTTTTTTAGGCCCCCCCGTAGGGGATTTTTTTATTGCATTTTTTAATAGACTACAAACTACAACGAAAAATTGGGAAAGGGTAACTACATCTAGGGAGAAAGGAAAGAAAACCACTACTAACTAAAACCCCAGGTATAGATCATAACAATAGCTTATATAAATGTTAATCTTAAACTGCTAGTATTACTTTGAACATAGTTGGTTATGCTAAGTTTTTTCCCCTTTTTATCCATTAATTTAACTGTTTAAGAGAGCCCCCATGTTGGATCCCCAAGCATCGAGAATAAATCCACGTTTTAAAGAAAAGCAAAATTTATTTCAAAGCGTTGAAGACATACTCAAACACGTTCTTTGTTAGAACTGGGGATACACAGTTAGGTCAAGCATAATAAAGGAACTTCAAACAGATACAGATCCAATGAATATCTTTCCCGCTGGCGGGCTAAGGAAACGGTTGCGCGCCCAGTACATGAGAACCAGGCAGAACATCAGACAAAACACAGGTGCAGTAGTCCTGGGAAAATCAATAGGCAAGCATTACAGCATCTTCTCCCCCACACAACCTCCAGCAGTTATCTTTTGCATTCCAAAGCAGGAACAGGATGATAGAAGCCAAGCCAGGTGTAACAGGGAAAGGATATGTACACAGAGGTCACAGAAAACAGAATGGCAGCTTGCTGACATACTGCCCCCCTTAAAATACACTTACAACACACCTCCCGGCCTGGGCGGGAGACCTCCCGGGCTGGGCGGGAGACCTCCCGGTTTGTCCGGGAACCTTCTGTGGAAACTACGGATCAGGTAAGGGGCCCGAATATCCCCTTCTTCCACCCATTCGCGGTGCTGGGGACCGAAATCAACCCATTCGATAAGGTACCAGAGTTTACCACGTTTCACTTTACAATCAAGGATATCAGCTATTTCAAAATGTTCATCCCCTTCCAATATGACAGGCGGAGGAGGAGTAGTCTCTGGTCTCCAAGGAGACGGTCCAGGATCCTTCTTCAATAGACTCATGTGAAAGACAGAATGCAAGGCACGTAAATTCTTAGGCAAAACAACATCAACTGCCACATCATTTATGACTTTACGCACTTTGAACGGACCAATGAACTTCCATCCCAATTTTCTGCTAGGCCGCAGCATCTTAATGTTCTTGGTCGAGACATACACAAGATCCCCAGGTTTCAGATCAAACCCCACCACCCTACCCTTGTCTGCCTGGGTCTTGTAAGCAGCCTTGGCTGCGTCAAGTGTTTGGCATAGCAGCGGCCATGCTTTTTGCAAGGACATACACCATGTATCAGCATCCCCCACAGGACGTTGGCCCATCCCCTCCAAGAAAGGGAGGGGGGGACTGTCGTAACCAGATACAGCTTTATAAGGAGACATGCCTGTGGAGCTATGGACCGTATTGTTATAACAATATTCAGCAAGAGGCAATAATTCACACCAATCATTCTGTTGATAATTAGTAAAACAACGCAGGTATTGTTCCAGAGTCTGATTAACCCTTTCCGTTTGTCCGTCAGTTTCGGGATGATACGCGCTGCTGAGCCCTTGTTCGACCCCTAAAATGGAAAGAAGTTCCCTCCAAAATTTAGAAACAAATTGGGTCCCCCTGTCAGAAATTAACTTAGCAGGTAATTGATGAATTTTCACCACGTGGGACATAAACGATTTCGCCAACCTCTGAGCTGTAGGCAAGGAAGGAAAAGGCACAAAATGAGCTTGCTTAGAAAACAAATCAACAACCACCCAAATAACAGTGTTCCCTTTGCTCGCAGGGAGGTCAGTAATAAAATCCATGGACACCACTTCCCATGGTCTCGACGGAGTAGGGAGTGGCTGCAGTAAACCAGGAGGCTTGCCCATCCTGGGTTTAGTTAAGGCACAGGTTTGGCAAGACCTAACAAACAATAAGAGGTCTTTGCGCATTTGTGGCCACCAGAATTGCCTGCGGATGAGTTGCAAAGATTTAACGAAACTCCAATGCCCTGCCAGTTTCGAACCGTGAGCAGATTCCATCACCTCCCTCCTCATCGAAATAGGCACATACAATTTGTCTCCAGAATAAATCAGACCTTCAGGGCTACGGACACAATCAGGTAATGTCTTAAGGGAGGCATCATCCTCAGCAGTAAAAGCAGAAAGATATTTCTGGACCCAGGCCCCCCCTCCCACAGGGAACAGGGAAGGCGAAGTCTCATCAGAGTGTGGAATCGTTCGCGCCTGCGCCCGGGTGACTACGGCCCCCCCCAGATGGGAGGGGGAAAAAACAGAGTCCATGATGATCTCACGCTGACTGTCATGTTGTGGGAGGCGCGAGAGCGCGTCAGCCAGGGAATTAGCCGCCCCCGGGAAATGACGAAGTGTGAATCGAAACTTAGCGAAGAAGTCCGCCCAACGAAGTTGCTTAGCGTTGAGAGAACGAGGGGATTTCAGCATCTCCAGATTCTTATGATCAGTCCAGACTTCAAACGGCAGTTGCGCCCCCTCCAGCCACTGCCTCCAAGTGGAGAGAGCCAGCCGGATCGCTGACGCTTCCTTTTCCCAAATCCCCCAGTTTCGTTCGGCATCAGAAAACTTTTTGGACACAAACGCCAGGGGATGTAACCGACCATCTTCCCCTTCTTGCAAAATAGCGGCCCCCATAGCCACATCCGAGGCATCAGTTTGGACAATAAACTTCTTAGATTCATCAGGGCGCGCCAGCACCGGCTCGGAGGTGAACATCAGTTTAAGTTTCTCAAAAGCCTCTGCGCAAGCAGGGGACCATTTAAGCGGGGCGCCCGGTTTCGTAGCATCAAAACCCTTCCCTTTGGTCTTTAGCAACTCAGTCAGGGGAAGGGCAATTTGCGCGAAATTCTGGATGAAATTTCTGTAAAAATTGGCAAATCCGAGGAACATTTGCAATTGTTTGCGGGTCCTGGGGGGCTCCCAGTCAAGTACAGCCTGAATTTTAGCAGGGTCCATTTCAACCTTCCCCCCAGAGATGCGGTATCCCAAAAAGTCAATGCATGTCTTGTGGAATTCACATTTTGACAGCTTAGCAAACAAGTGGTGTTCATAAAGTCGCTTAAGGACCTGGCGCACCAATTTAATATGCGACTGGAGGTCCTGAGAGTACAGCAACACATCATCAAGGTAAAGGACCACTCCTTTGAATAGGAACTCATGTAGGACCTCATTGATTAGGTTCATGAAGACCCCCGGAGCCCCTTGAAGGCCGAAGGGCATAACGAGGTACTCAAACTGCCCCAAAGGGGTATTAAATGCAGTCTTACTTTCATCCCCCTCCCGGATGCGCACACGGAAATATGCATCCCGGAGGTCAAGTTTCGAGAAGATCTTGCCCTTGGTGGCCTCAGCTACCAAGTCCTTAATTAATGGGAGGGGGTAAGCATTGGACAAAGAAACAGCGTTCAAACCCCTATAGTCAGTGCACAACCTAAGCCCCCCGTCCTTCTTCTTTCGGAAAAGTACAGGCGCGGCGAAAGGGGAGGAAGCCGGGCGAATGAAACCTCGGGCTAGGTTTTTATCAATAAAGTTCCGCAGTTCGACTTTCTCAGCCGGCCCCATCGCATAAATTTTACCTTTGGGTAATTTACAGTCAGGCAAAAGTTCAATAGCACAGTCAGTCGAGCGATGAGGGGGCAATTCGTTAGCTTCCTCTTCGCCAAACACCTTTGCCAAGTCTCTATACTCTCGAGGCAAAGAAGCTAACTCTTCCGGTTGCAAAGTGCCGCAGGGGAACTGTGTGGTCGGCTGGTCCCCCCACGAATCCACCCAGCAGTGATCCACACACTTAGCCGACACAAATTTGACAACCCCTTCTTCCCACAAGATGTAAGGGTCATGGGTAAACAACCAGGGACTCCCCAGTACTAAGTCGAACTGCGATTTAGGGGTGACAATGAAGGACCTGGATTCCCAATGATCTCCCGCCCCCAACCGCAAAGCCATAGTCTCGTGCGTACAAGGTTCCATGGGTGCCCCATCCATCTGAGTAAAAATGATGGGGGACTTCAAGGGGACTATCCCCGCTTCCAGTGCAACTAACACTCTAGGGCTGATGAGATCCCTCCCACACCCAGAATCAATCAACGCTCTTACCCTAACGTGGGTTCCTAGGAGCGGATTCATTAAGGAGACAGTCACGAAAAATAGGGAAGGGGTTTCTCTCACCACCTTGGGCGCAGCATTAGAATGGCCTTGTCGTTTTGCGCCTCTCACAACAGGCCGTTTTCGTTTTCCGCCGGTTCAGCCACCAGCTCTTCTTCAGACTCGGTGGCAGCCGGTTCATTTTCCCCCGAACCTTGGGCTGCCTGCAGAGCTTTGGAGAAACGCGGTTTGGCCATCCCCTTCTTCCCCGACAGCGGTGTCTTCGGGCTTGGGGTAGGCGGCTTGTCCTTGACTTGACGGCTGCCACAATCCACAGCGAAATGCCCCTTCTCCCCGCACTTGAGACAGAGCCCCATCTTCATCCGTAGTTCCCTTGCCGATTCCGACAGGCGTTGAGTCTTGGGTTTAGAGGCACCGACAGCGGCGGGTCTGTTGGTCGTAGCAGCCAGGTCGAGTTTGATGGTGGTGAGCCGGTCTTCTGCATTTTCAGCTTCTTGGGTCCAGGCCATCAGGGAGACAGGGTTGACAGTTTTCAGAACCGTTTCTCGGATTTCTGCGTTGAGACCCAAGCGATACATCTCAGCCAATATATGATCAGGGTAGTCTCGGAGCTTAGCTGCTTGCTTGTGGAATTCCAGAGTGTACTCGCGAACCGACTTCTTGTTCTGGCGGTAGGTCCGGAGGAACGCTTTAGCTCTTTGACTCGCGTTGACATCTTCG